CTGACACTATTGTATTAGAATCTTTTCGAGAGTCAATTTCTGTCCACAAGTAAGAAAACACATTTGTTGATCTTAGTTTATCGGTAGAAGTTCCAGCAACAACTGTAAAGTTATTAGTTTATTTGCTGGCTGAAATATGCTGCTTGATCAGGCAGTTTAGGCAGTACTAAATTTTTGTTGACAGTCAAACGAAATGTAAGTTATGTTGAGTTTTGGATTTTTAAGGAGTTTAAAAAAGCTTTTGCTTCTATAATATGAACACGATGCTCAGTGGCTAAATTTGGCCGAACAGCTAAAGAAGTTGCTTCTTTAAACTGTTCCTTTGTTTTCAAGCAAGTGGAGCAACAGTCAGTCAGCGGAGTTCCAAAATAGATGTTGTAGTTAACATTCACATACTTTCTAAAATAACTAAGCTTAAAATTCATAGGCTAAGGCACTTTTCGAAGATAATGGTCGAAACGTTTCTTAAAATTCAAGTCACATGACAAGTAGACGCTCACGCTTGTCTTGCTTCTACAGCAATGAGACTCTGTACATGTTATGGATTCTATAAATTTTTTGAAGCAGTTTCTTTTTTCATCATTTTTTAGCTATCACTGGTACCTATCCAGTGATTTCCTCAAACATACATGGTATTTTATCGACACTGCAGCATGATTAGATTTCCTTCTTTTTGGTTTCTGTCCCTGACAACAAGCCAATATCAGAGGGTCTTCTTTACTTTTATCTTTTGACCGATAAAGGTAGGCATAAAAATTTATCACTTGCTTCATCGTGAGTGTGGTATAATAATACGGCATTCCAGGTCGTCAAACAGGGAGATACTTTATCACCCAAACTGTTCACCTTAGTTTTGGAGGACGTTTTTAAAAACCTAAATTGGAAATATAAGCGAATAAACATCAATGGCCGCTACCTCAGTAATCTACGATTTGCAGATGACATAATCCTGATAGCTACTAACCTACAAGAAATGCAAACCATGCTTTTAGAACTGCATACCGAATCTTCTAAAATAGGACTGAAAATGAATTTAAACAAAAGTCATGCACTCCGAAGACACCGTGACAATAATAAATAATAAAGTTATAGAAAAAGTTGAAGAATATATATACTTAGGACAAAAAATATTCCTAAATAGGGAAATTCAGACTGAAGAAATAAAAAGAAGAAGAAAGTTAGCTTGGGCAGCATTCGGTAAACTGAACTATATACTCAGAAATCAACAAATTCAATTACATCTTAGATCTAAAGTTTTTGATATGCGGCACAAACATGGACATTCACTAAAAAGAATATGAATATACTTAGAGTCACTCAACACGCGATGGAAAGAGCAATGCTAGGTATATCACTTAAGGACAAGAAAACAAACACATGGATAAGACAGAAAACCAAAGTCACCGATGTGGTGCAAAAATCAATAAAGTTGAAATGGGAATACGCTGGACATGTAGCTAGGAGCGATCTAAACAAATGGCACAGTTCAATTTTAACCTGGAGACCATACCAACACAAAAGACCCAGAGGCAGACCTCCTATGAGATGGACAGATGATCTGAAAAGGACTGCCGGGAAAAATTGGCTACAAGTATCGTACAATAAAAAACAATGGAAAGGAAGACTTGAAAAGGCTTATGTTCAGATGTGGACGTGAATGGCTAGACGAAGAAGAAGAAGGTCGTCCGTTATGACCACAAGTTGGAAAGGCCGGCAGTACTTTTGGTATATTTCTCTAACAATACAACTCTTTTAATAAACTTTTCTGTAGACATGCCCAACGTTAAAATGCGAAAAATAAGTGAAACTGCATAAAAAATCAAACGATTAGCGAAGAAGTCTAAAATCATAAATTTTAATATGAAACACTTAGAAAGTTTATCCACATTCCTTTTATGTGTTTTTTACTGAAGAATTTTTTGCGTTCTTTTCTCTTGGAACTAGGTTTAACAAAACAACCATTTTCACTTACTAACTCCATAAAAATAAAAAAACTGTTTCTAATTCGCCAAAATACAACTGTTTAATTGCTTGAATAATTATAAACTACTGAAAATTTGTTTCTTCAACACAGCTGTTGTAGAAGCGTGTCGTCACTTGAAGCAACCAGCAAATTTTATTGGTGGTAGTGCAAACAGTGAGTTTTGCAGGTAAACATTCAAAGTAAAGATCTAGTTCTGCAAATAACTGTAATTTTCTCGACAGAATTTGTATACTAAAGAATGCGTTTTACAAAATTCTGATTATATCAATCGATTTCTATTTAAAATTGGAAAAAACTTATCTAAGAAAAAAATTTCCGAAACCTTTGTCGATTAGCGAGTTTTGCAAATAATGACTGCTTATGATTTATTCTCTGGTGGATAAAAATACATCAAACTTTTGTAAAAATTTCGTTCATATAATTTTTTAAATTTTATTAAACTTCATTTAAAAATATAACATCGGTTATTACATTTCGAAATGTAATAACTAACTATTTAAATTCAGTAGAAGATGCCTCAATTCATAAAACCTCTCTAATATTCAAAATAAGATACAACATCGACGTAATAACTCCAAATATAACATCATCCTTGTACATGGATAATCTTTTCGCTCCCCAGCCACCTGTATCCCTTTCAACCCACGGGGCTACCTGTTGCAAGCGGCAGGGGTAAGAATGTTTGTGCTCTGCGCACGTTGCGCAACTTTCGATACTTCACGTAACTTTCATCTACACAGATCCAGACCGAATGTAACCTAACCGAATATTACTGGAATTGGAATTAAACATTTAAGAAATTTGAAAAGGTTTCCGCAGTTCTTTGGGTTCGGAAGATTAAAATAAAAAAAATGTATTTCTTTAAACAAAGATTGTTTAAATAATTATACAGCTTTTAAATAAGAATATTTGTATTTAGAGCTTTAAAAGACACACGTTTGGTAAGTTTTTCTAAAAAACGTTTCGAATATAGTAAATGCACTGGCAAAGTCAAAAGGCCAGTCATGTTTTCTCATAGTTTTATCATTCATTTCCATTGTTTACATTATATACATATTAATATTATATACAGGTTAAATTAAGATACAATATTTTTAGTGTGTTAGTAAATGCCTAAATATTTTCGTTACTTATTTTTATTTTTATTGTTTTTTTTATATCAGTCTATATACCATTGTAACTTTTCTTTTATTTTTATTGTTTATTTCTTTTTTTTAGTATTATTTTTTTATTGTTTAATATTATTTATTTATTGGTTTGCTTTTTTTTGTGTTTTTTTTTCATATTGTTTTTTTTTTGTTTTTTTTTGTTTTTTTTTTCGTTTTAGGCTTACAAATTTATTCATATATCGCAATACTGCTTACAAAGTAATATTAGTAGATTTTACATACTGATATATGATGTTGTAGATACTATTATCCTCTAATGTCAATAGATTTGAAACATTTATTGGAAATTTCATTTTGTACAATATTAAATTTGATAAAACTTATCAATTTCTATTTTTTTTAAAGGACAGTCTAAAAGAATATGTTGTAAGTCGGCAATTTCATCATATACACATTTATTATTATCTAACAAACCTATTTTATGTTTATACGCTGGAAATAGTGCATGATTGCAGCGCATTCGACTTATATCCGAATAATTGAATGATTACATGTATTCTCAAACCATGGTTTGTCCCTTATTTTTGGTTGTATATTCTTAAAAAACTGTCCTTTGTCTCCACATTTATATTTTATCTGCCACTTTTCCGTAAGTTCCTTTCGAAAAATTGGAATAACATCAGACTCTGGTATTTTTAATCTAAGTAGTCTTTCATTTTTTGCACCATCTTTTGCTAAATAGTCCAGAGTTTATGCTATATAATATATCAAACACTATTCTTAACAAAACTTGGTTATGCGCAAGTTCTTAAACGACATTTGAAATTGATTTTTGGCCTAAACCAACATCACAAAGTTCTAAAAAGAATTCAAGTTATAAAAACAAAGCTGGAGTATAATACGGCACTTATATTTGTTAGGAATGCCGGGGAGCAGAGTTTTGTGCTTGTTTTTATATAATTCAGGCGAAGGTATTTTTGACAAGATTAAAAATTTTACAGTGAACACGTCAATGTTCTTATAAAAGAATCGGTAAGTGTGTAATATTTTTTTTTAATAGCAATATTCACTATTATAATATTAAGAAAAACTAGAATCATACAGGCTGATTAAAAAATAAAGGAACAAATTGCAACACATTTATTATATAAGCCAAGATATTTATATTTTCAAACCACCAGGGCCTTACGGCATATATCTAGCCCTCCTACGGTGACGACTGGATATCCTTCTGCTGCACCTCGTGGAAATATTCAGAGCCTCTTTGGTTCTGAGATATATTCCTAAGAAGTGTAGAGAGGTACGTGTTGTCTTCATACCAAAACCAGGTAGGATGGACTACACCCTACCAAAGGCTTTTCGACCAATTAGCCTAACATCCTTTCTGTTGAAAATAATGGAAAGGCTATGCGAGAGGTACATAAGGGGTGAAATTCTGGTCCATAACCCTCTTCACCCAAATCAGCATGCATATACTTCGGGAAGATCTACCGATTCTGCACTGCATCATGTAGTAGTTTCAAAGTTACATTGATTATTTCTTCTTAATACATATTGAAGAAAATAGGTATCACAACACAATACCTTGTAGGTAACACTTGTTTTACTTTTTATTTCTTCTGAAAACTCGTTTTTTTGTAATACAGCTTTTTGATTGTAATAAAAGTTGTTCATAATTAGGTATGCACATGTTTGTAACTTCCTTAAAAGCTTTGGACTAATTTATAAATAACTTGTTCAAATAAGCATATTTTTATTATTACCTGTATATTACCTATATACATATATAGATTTATATATTTATGCCCTCTTGTTAAAAACCTGAATGTGCATCTCCCGTCGAGAATTTTAACAACTTAACTGAATAGGTTTCGAACTCATGCAAAGGATAAGCGGTAATGACTCACCTACTGGCGGTAGAATTGACACTAGTATTTGACCTGGACCTTCTGTTAATGATGGAATCCCCACAGTTCACAACTCCTCCCTTGTTAGTTATACTGAATGTCCGCAAACGGTACAGGTCGTCACTAAGTCGTGGGTTGTAGGGTTTCTCTGGTAACGAACATACTCTTGGCCTGATATGATCTGGAACTAAACATATATTTGTAATAAATTCATTGATTTTCTTTGTCACTAGTTTTAGGAATAAAGGTACGTTACTTGCTACAATTAATAATTTTCACTGAATTAATTTCTTAACTTCACACAGATCGCGAAAAAAGGATTTATGTTACCTAAAAACTGTTTTTGTTAGGCTAAATCGAAGATATAGCTCAACATTTAGTCCTTATAACTTTTTCTATGTTGCATATTTCTCTAAATAGCAATAAAAACATAGCTTTTCACTCTTTTAGAATCACAAGCACATGGCGGGCTAGTACTTGTTGACATTACGCATACTAAATTGACCGATGACAGACAAAAAAATTGACTTTGAGAGATTACAGACAAAAAAGAAGAAGAATTAAGACTAGTGTCACAAGGCAGTCCATAATGTAGATTTTAAAAACGACAATGGCGCATGAGAGCATAGACTCGTCCTACGTTCGATAGAGGTCGCTACAAGTAAATTAATTTAAAATGAAATAGCGTCATTTGGCGAATTTCGAATTTTTGTCATAGAAACACTGCTTAAGAACGCCGCTGGAATTGTGGAATCTTTGGAATATACTGTTGAGCTCTGTTATTTATATGTTTTTATCCAACTGTTTGTACGAGATAATATTATGACGAACATTATCAAAGTCGTTATCTTACACAAACTAATTGTTATCAATAAGCATTCCTAAATAAAAACTGAGATTAAATATTATCATTTTTATTAATTATGATAACGAATGTACTTATTAGTTGTTGATATAATGGTGTACATTCCTAGAAATTACTAGATAAACTATTATCTACATCTGATATACTATTTTTGTAGGGTACTCTTGCTCGAAAGTACATACTAGGTAATTATTATATGATTTTGTATCTTACTTTTGTACATTTATCTATTTGAAAACAATATCTTTGTTTTGAAATTGTTTTTAATTTTTTTTTAATAAGTATTTTATTTTGCTAACTCCTCCTCCGGTAAGTGCTGAGTGGATTGAGTAGCTCAGTAAATGACGGTGCCGGTACCAAGCGTGGATAAGGGAGGAGGATTGAGGCGATGGGATAGCAACTGATCCCTTGTCAAAAGAAATAAATGCTAAAAATTTCGACCAAAACCCTCGGAATACAAAGGATGGATAACAACAAAAACAAATTAGCGGAAAGAAAAATAGATGTAAGTATTCTCACCGAGACCAAGAAAAAGGGAAAAGGAAATGAAGAGATAGAAGACTATATACATATCTACAGTGGTGTGACAAAAACAGAGCTAAGAGAATATTAAATCTTGGACTGAAGTAAATGAACAAATGCTAATACTGGAAATAAAAAAGAATGGGCACAACATCGTATTGTCGAAGTGTCTAAAACTTTAAAAAAATTTCTAGGCTCTCCTAGTGAACCGATTTGAAGTTTACAAAAAACGTTTGAAAGTTTGAGACTTCCTTTATATGTAAAAAAAATTGCAACTATCTGAGGGCCTTATTTAGGGCCTACTATAATTTTAAAAATTTGCGATTTTTTTCTAGTAGTCTGGATTGCAAAATTATTATGCAAAACCTATTCGACCGATCTTAACAAAATTTAGCACACGTTTTAAACATATTAAAAAGTTTTTCTAGGCGGAATATGGAGCTTGTAAGTCAAGTTTAGAAAGTCGGAAACATTTAAAGGATTAACTTCATTTTTTTGTATTTGTTTTTTCCAATTATTGCTATTTTTTCAACAATAAACATTAAATTTTCAATTTCTAGCTAACGAAATATTGTATAAAATTGAATAACGAAACTTTTAACTTTTTATAATTTTTTCTCTAGGATCAATATTTTCCGAATTATAAACGAAAATAGGAGCAAAAAAATGAGAAATTTTCAATTATTTTCAAGTTTTGTTAAATAAAAAATTTAGCACAGGGTTTGCAACTGGCGCATGTCATGACTATCGATATTGGGCACATACTGAAGGGATTCCAACAAAAAATAGCTTCCTATGGAAAATATCCAATCCAAAACAAATCCCGCCTAGATTAAACATATAGGTTTTTGATACAAAGGTCCATGTTACTCTAAACAAACGTTGTTTAGAGACAATCTTACCCCTTTGCACATCCGTTAAACCTACATAAAGCATATTTTTGTTTTTGAAAGCAAATGTTAGTTTATTTATTTTCATTCAATTTTCAACTAAAAAAAATAATCTATACCGTGCCGGACTGTGTTATCTGATTGTTTTATTGGTTTGTTTATTTTCAACAAAAACCTTTATTCTAATAACAAGTTTTTTTCAAAAGAAATAAATAAATATTGGTTTGAAATAGCATGATGATTCCGTATCAGTTTGGATGTCAGCATATTCGATAAAGTGTCACAGTATTTAATCCACCAAGTTATCTACAACTGATAATGTTTCTATAACACGTATCATTCGTTTTAATATTGTAGATATAGACATAGATTTAATATTGTTGTGTGCATTTTCTATTCATAATGTCAAAGGTAATTTCTTGTTTTATTCGTTTTAACCATTTGTATTTAATATTTGGGTATGATTTTTTTCTCTTCTTTAATTTTGTGTGTTACATTATTGCATGTTACTTTTTTAATTACAATTCTGACGCTTTTAAAAATAAACTTTTAAACTCGTATAATAAACTTTTAAAAATAGACAAATAGACATTACTTTGTATCCTAGAAATGAAAACAAAATATATGTATAATTAATTGATATATTTTTAAGTTTTCTATATAAAGCAATCAACATTACAGAGTTGAGAATTAATTCTATTAATCATTCCCTGATGTTCGGTTAGAAACAAGGTTTCAATAATTGAAATAATTATCCTTTGTTATTGATACTTTCTGAGGTTTTTAGAGTTATATTTGGGGACGTTTTAGAAAGGCGTGATACCATTCTGTTTCTGGACGGATCTTTAAACGGATTTTCTCTAGTAGTGTCGGTATACCAAGAACAAGTTGGAGAGAAGGAATAGACAAAAAAGTGAGAGAAGAAATAGACAGAGGCGAAAAAAAAAGATGAAGTGGCGACTTCAAGGCTTATAATATCTGTAGCATGTTTTTTTTAGTTATCAAGACACACACGACTTGTGAACTTGTCGATTTCACCCATAGGATGAAGAATAATCTGAATATCTGTTTTTTGCTTTGTTGAACAATATTTTATTTTAACTACAATGAATTTTTTAAAATATATAGGTATAACTTATAAATCTGTAAAACTGTATAAATATGAGACTTCCTCCTCCTCAGTCCTAATCCCATTTGGGATGTTGTAGATAAAATTAGTATCTACACAATAGGACAAACATGCAAGAATGTCCTTAAAATGTGATAGAGTCTATAGCATAGGTTGCTGGTTACAAAACACTAACGGTTCAAAAAGCTATCCAAAGGTACAAATAGATTTATTATCAGAAAAAGAGAGAAAAAAAAAACAAATAACATAAATAAAATCAGTACAAATACATAAAGAACTAAACAAAATTCCTACCACTAAATACTACTTACTAGCTAACAAGTTTTTCGAAAGTGTATGTGCAATATTGTCTATCCAAGTTGTTATCACGAAGATCCTGGATGTAGAGATGAGGAGATGTGGTAAGTATGTGTCAAAAGGCCACCCAGAGAACCATGGAAAAAACTTCTAACACTTCTATTGTATACAAAAATGGCCACTACTGTATTAACGTATGGTTCTAAAGTTTTGGGAAAAATTTCACCTGGTCTGATTGAGAAGCAAAATGCATTTAACAAAGAAGGCCATGGAATTGAAACGTTATTAGATATTGACACTTAATACCAAGCACTTAATACCGCTTAACAAGCTCCAAAAATATTTCAAAAGAAACATGGTCAATAATAAACGATTTTCGAAATAAAACCAGTACAGCGGATCAAACCTTTTCTTTTCCTAACCCCGAAAATCTAAATGATTACTTTGTTAATGTGAGTAAAAATATAACCTCAACTATTTCGCCACATCAAGATCCAGTTTCCTATCTCTCTAATTCAAAAAACATTGCTGATACCTTCTTTTTAAGACCAGTTGATAAGACGGAACTCATTTCAACAATTCGTAGTATAAAAAGCACATCGTCCTGTAGTACAGATGGATTATCTATTAAAATTTTCTCAAATCTACCGCATAATGTTTTGGACGTCATGGTCTCGCTAGTAAATGATTCCCTTGAAAAAGGTACATTCCCTAACTGCCTAAAGACTGCCATCGTCATTCCTCTTCATAAAGGTGGAGAAAAATCTGATGCCTGCAACTATAGACCTATTGCCTTGTTACCAGCACTATCAAAAATTATTGAAAGACTTATAAAAGTTCGACTTATGCCCTTTCTCCTTAAATATAATATTTTATCGCAAAATCAGTTCGGCTTTTTGTCTAATAAATGCACTAGTGATGCCATATTTTCTGTGTTACATGATGTATATCTATCACTAAACAGTAACCTCTCCTCCGCCACCGTTTTCTGCGACTATTCCAAAGCCTTTGACTGCGTAAATCACGACATTCTATTAAAAAAATTAACTTTCTATGGAATTCGGGGTGTGTCTTTGAACTGGTTCAAAACTTACTTGGTAGGTAGGAAACAATTGGTTAGAATAAATGACACCGACTCTAGTTGTAAAGATATTGAGTGTGGAGTACCGCAAGGTTCAGTATTAGGTCCCATTCTTTTTTTACTTTTCATTAATGACATCACTTACTTAAAAATTAAAGGGAAAATTTTTCTATTTGCTGATGATACCAGTATTACATGGAGCAGCTCTGATATTTCAACGCTTCATTCAATTATAACCGATGATTTACTTATAATCAAGGCTTGGTCAGACTCCAACTTACTTAGCTTTAACGTGGATAAGACTGTAGCATTATCTTATAAAGGAGTCATGCAACCCTTGCTTTTGAATGAGAGCCAAATCAATATCGTAAATTCCGTGAAATTTCTAGGTATTCTCATTGAC